GTGACTAAATGTAAGGAAAAGACAGGCAACATACTTGTAACTATTCTGGTATTACAGGTAGCTTATCAAGAGTACCGTCACCATACAAAATAAATTGGTTGAAACGCCTGCTCTGACAGAATACTTGACTGGTCTTAGTTATTTTTTCTGATTATTTATTTTACTAATAACTTTCGTAGCGACCTCACCTAAAAGCATAAGAAGATTTCTTTGGAGCAGGTGCAAATTTTGAAAATAAAAAGTGACCCACCAAGTGTGAGAGCCGTATCAGCTCGATCGGAGTGAAACCACGGCTCCACAGAAAACAGGCGTGAAACAATCGCAGTGTTCTTTTTCGCCGTGTGAGTGAGGTTACCGCGGAGGCTCTGCTTACCATCAGGTAATCCATCTGCTCGTTTGCCGACTTATCACATAAAAAATAACTTCCTCAAACGATAATTTGTGGTAAGAAATTTCAGCTTAACCGATTGATCATCAGTCATCGGTATAAATTTTAAAAACATGTTTTTAAAATAAATCTGTTGTAGAGGAATCCAATAGCGCTGGTGTAACTAACGTTCCTAACATCTTCATCTATCATATCAGTGATAGTTTGATTGGAGGTCGTATGGAAGCCATAATATTTGTAATAATACCCAGTGAGTGACGCCAGCGTAGTTGTGCCATTAATATAGTAATCACCACACTGACTAGTTCGATCGTCAAATGAAACACGCGTTTATACTCTTGCTAATATTTGAAATAGTGATGGGCAAGTGAGTCATCGTATCATTAAGAGTGGGAATTTTAGCCAGAGTTGCGGGCCATCCCTAAGACGAGAGATCTCATTTCAAAATTTTCCCTCCACAAAAAATATTAGTAGGATAGCCATGCTTTTGCACGAATGGGTTGGAAATGATACCAAATTATCACAGATATTCATTTAGTGTCAAATAATTTAAGTATTGTGTGTTTTAAGAATTTTATTTTATTCCACGCTAGTCATATTTATCTATATTTTAGTAAAGAAGACTCTGAATGGATTCAAGTGGAAAAGTCTTGAAAAAAAAACCTTAATGTGTTATTAATGAATACAACACTTTCTCTTACTTTTGTAAAAATAAATGTCAATATTTCCATGCAATTCAAGTGTCCGCTTACTTAATCGCCGAAGTAAATCATAATAATTATTTGTTTAAATTGAGATTATTTGCCACGGTTCGGTCATTATAATTCACATTAATACATTCTGGAACGTGCTCAGCCCCTGCCACAACCTATAAACTTAATTCATTTCGATTGCAAATTACGCTCGATTAATCAAATATTTCTTTAAGTTTTATAATATTTTTATCGATCAAAAGTGCAAAACTTTTTGTTTGCAAAATTGAGGTGGCGCTATATATTTTTAACTACCTACATATTAAGTGGCAGCGTAGAGCGACAGTTCCAGAATTAACATAAAAATGTCGATATAAATCTATGACAGCCAGCCCATCACTAGTTCATATCGTTAGACCCATAAACGCGAACGGCTTATTATTTCCATATTTAACGATGATTGCACATACGTATGGAGCAATTTCATAATATTACCATCAGCATTCTAAATTAGATTATATATGGTGAAAACATCGACTTTCAACCAACTTCTAAATTGAAGTCCTTGAAATGAAGATGTTATAGTGATGGGGTGAGATTACCATATCGATTGTGATGGTAAAGAGAGGATGGATCGGGATCGGTTATTTTTATACGGTAGTTAGGTTGATGGTTTTAGAGAATACACGCTTTCGAAATTTTACGATCATAATTTTAAGATGTTTAATAACTTTTTACGGGTATAGTTGTTTTAGTTGATAAGTGCAAGTATAAACCACAATTTTATATTTTAAAGTGTACAAAGTAGAAAGACCAAACATAGATATTTAACCGCATATATAGTACATATTTATCGCGGTCTATGATTTTTGTTTTGAGCTGGGAAAATCATCAAATGAATTCTTTAGCCCTTGGTGGTGCTCCTCAATCTGGCCGAGACCACAGTACTGTATTGCTCTTGAACTCACAACTCCGACAGGACATCGGTTTTGTTGGCCCCATATGTGGCGATCTGATGTTCCTTTGTATGTACTGTACGCTCGGATCTGGTCCTGTTCAGGTACCCTTGCTAGCCAACCTTGCTCGCCGTCCGAAACCGCGAAACCTAATTAAATGACCATAAAACCTCGAAGAATATTAGTGGTTGAAGATTTTTTTACTTAAAGAACACTAACAACACTTTATTTTCATTTTATATAGATTTAAATAATACTCAAACCTGAGCCTAAAATCAGAAAACCTCTGATGGATTAACGAGTGTGTTAGCTTTGAACATATTGTTCGGTTTCCCGCGTTCCGTCCAATCAGGCGCCATGTTGTGTAAATGAAATGGTTAGATAGCACACACCGATTTAAAATATTGCTTCCATATTTGAATCTATGCTGAACCAAATGAATTGTGCGCTATATTTGTTTTTAATATTTTAGGCGATTTTTTTGTGCTACCTTTTTTATTTTTCATTGTTTATTCAAGGGATTATTGAAGAATTCTATTTTTAAATATTTGTCTTGTGGATTTTACAAAAAATTGGTTAGGATAAGAAAAAAAATTTTTTTTTTGCTTAATTGACACGGCTGTTTTCGTACCTACCTATAATACATTTGTATATTATTTGATTTCACACATAAAAAAATTTCAGTCGATTTACGACCTCCTTTTTTTAAGTCGATTGAAGACCGCTTAACGCACTTGTTACTCCTCAGTTGTTGCGGATGTCCAAGGGCGGCGCTGATTGCTTACCATCAGGTAATCCGTTCGCTCGTTTGCCGAAGTATAACATAAAAACACAAACCAAATAAAAGAAAATAGAAACCCAATTTATCACGACTTAACTTATAATACAGAATATGTAAACAAGACTCATAAAACTTTAGTATAAGTTTACAGGGGGCGCCGGCGTCGCAGCGATGTATTTATAATTCCCAACGCTAACTTGCAAACTACCGAAACAGTTTTAAATTAGTTTAACGGTTAACGCTTCTGCGAGATAAATAAGTGCAGTATAAAGTAAGTTTTAACAGTTTTATTATAAGAACAATGATGATTTAATATTGTTTCGTTCTTGTTAAGTTTAGTTCATGTAACTTTAAACGTTTTTATTCTCAAGAAAGAAGATTCAAAGAAGTGCACAATTGTACATTAAATGTGGATCGTTTGTGGGAACTTGTACCGTGGTTCTAGCCCGGAACAGAAGAAAGGGGTGGTTTTTAGTTTTTTCGTATTTTATTAAGAGTCTGACACTCCCTCTCTCCTAAAACACTTAACGATTTTTCTGTTTAAAAACTTAGCAGCATTATATCTATTTATATGTTACTAGCTACTATCTATTTATAGGTTTCACTCGCTGCTCGGCTCCATTTAAGTGTAGCCTATAGCAATCGAGAACATTGTAGCTATCAATGAATGAAATAATTTTTGGAATCCGACCAGTGGTTCTAAAGATTACCCCCTACATAAAAATTTACAAACTTACAGCGTAGGTATCAATGTCAAAATTATTAGATTTTTATTTAAAGTAGTATACAGGTATTAATTTATTATTTGTACGACGCTATTAATAAATGTTATATTTAAAAATAACGTCCCAAAAGACAAACATAGACACCTAGTGCACATTTCCTTTACCGCAAATCACTTAACAAACATCTTACACAAATATTACAAGTACAAACACATTATTACGAAAAGTATATAAAAATAAATATTACTTAAGAAAAACTCTCGTTTGTGACGAAGTTACGAAAACTCGTGTTAATATCTAGTAATAATGTTTAGTACACTTTCACGGGAACTGTATGTTTGTTTGTCACATTAGCATATATGTATGACTGGCAGCAGACTCAGTGAAATGTCATTTTATAATACGACACTCAACTGAGCTGAGGGTCTGAAAAAATCAGGATTTTTTTACCGAAAAATATTAATTAGTTTTTTTTATTTGTGGTTAAAATGAAGGCGTTTGTAGTGATTTTGATAATTATGATATTTTCGACCGTTGAAGGATCTGATAAGAGTGATAAATCAAATGAAGTGGAACCCAGGGGCAAGGCAAAATACGCTCTAATAAGTGAGTATTATTGATGTATTTTATTTTTTTTGTAGTTCATAATAATTCAGGAATGGTAAACTTTTGACATCTTTTAGATTTCGGTTGAAATTACTGCTTATTCTATTAAATAATTGACGAAAATTATTTTAATTTTTAGCTCTTTAATAAATAATAGTCTGTTTAGATGATAGTAGTATGTTGGGAACACTTATTAAATCAAATGGAATCATTTTATTTGCTAAACAAAGGTCTAATACGTAATTACCAATGTATTCAATTATTTAAAATTATACATATATCTTTATTTTACCTAAATAACATGAATGTCTGAAATATTAGGTCACGAATTAATCAAACTTATAAATAGTTTATTCAATCTGTATCCTATTGTTTTTATATGTAATGTTTTGAAGCGACGAACAATATGCCTTATCGTAGTTTTTAAGGAATTTGCTTTCGCTTACTACACTAACAACCAAACTTAATATTACAAATGCGAAAGTAACTCTATCTGTCTTTCTGTCTTTTCTTCACGCCAAAAGTACTGAAACTAATTGTGTAAAATTTCGTACAGAAATAGTTTGGAACTCGGGAAAGGACATAGGATAGTTTTTCAACCAAAAATCGGCTGAAAGTGACTAATCCACGCAAACAAAGTCGCGGATAAAAGCTAGTTTATAAATACAAACGGGTATCCTCATTTTGTGTACAAAAAGAAATAAGAATACACACGCTGATTACTTTTTTTCTCAAATTACTAAAGCTGGCAGGCAATAATACTACCTACTCAAGTCCATACAACAGACATCTTGATAAAAACTTTTTGGAAATAGCAAAAAGGTTTCGCATTCTTTCAAACTCCTTGGGACTTTAATGGCTTTTATTCTAGAAAAGTAAATAGATAGTTAAAGTTTACCTTCTTATTGTATTTTCTTTTTTTTATGTAATAGGTCGGCAAACGAGCAGACGGATTACCTGATGGTAAGCAATTAGCGCCGCCCGGAGGACACTCGCAACGGAGGAGTTACGAGTGCGTTGCCGACCTTTTAGGGATTACGGATTTGCAGATTTAGGGATTGAGGAGGGATTGGGGAAGGGGAAGGATTGGGCTAACACTTCTTTTGCTGTTATACTGTTAACGACTACGGTTATTTATTTAGTAATTAATCTTTTTATTGCTAAGATGTTAAGTTCTAATTACTACCCAAGTGAAACGGTGAAAAACAATGAAAGCCAAAGGATTTAATGTTTGAATCAACATAGTTGAAGGTCACGTATAACGTTTATAGTTAATACATGCTAGGCCTGGGTGGTTGTTAGATAATATCATTTAAGTGTTTAAAGTTTCACAATATAGTATTCTAAGTAACATTAGGGTATAAGATAGGGTTGCACACAAGTCTACGTACCACTCGGTCTCCAGAGGTAAAACACCAAGGAGTTAGAGCGTTGCTAGTCTTTTGGGGATATGGACTTTTGGGGATGGTGATGGGAATCCTTCCAAACGGTGAACGGTGAACACATCGCAAGAATTGGGTAGTTTCCTAAATCAAAAATAAATTATTTCAACGTTTCAATACAATAAAATATTGAAAAATAACTATACTTTTATTCATGGATCGATCGATACACTAATTTTTAGATATTTTTTAGCTTATTATCAAGAAATAATTAAGCTATTTGACGCAAAAATACTATGACATTATAACTTGGTTTTTCATACAAATTTCATAGAAAAGTATCGTTTTGGACATTTGGATAAAAGTATTGAATTTGACTAGTTGGAAACTGCCGTATTTGCATCACGCTGGTTTTTTGTGACGAAGTGCTATTATTTTAGTTGAGCTGGTCCATATATGGTGAAGCATGGCTCTCCCAGAGTTAAAACTCCACCTACATACATAGTATTTGAAAGTAGTAGACGTCGCTTATACTATGTTATATTACATTATTCTATTCAGGCATCATTGGTTCATACACTTGTGATAATTTTACCAACCACATTTTTTCGAACGCTTAAATCACATCCGTATTGAGATTGCGTCAGTTTGAACATAACAATATGAATTCTCCAAAATGGTGGACTGCTAAAGAAGATTTCAACTTATATAATCTGATCTTTTAAAAGTAGGTTAGGATTAAGGAGTCAAATTACTTAAGTACTTCTAATACATCAATTACTCACAACACGAAGGTATCATGTTAAAAAATCACGCTAAAGCTAATCGTCAGTATACATTCATAAATGATGACAGTGAGAAAATCTTAAAACATGGAACACTAAGAAATTTCAACAAAGACCCTGATTGCTGATTCCAGCTGCATCCAATGTCGGTTTATACAGCAAATTAAAGTAGAAGTCTGGACCGGGGATTTAAATCTGAATCGGGAACAAATTGGAAACTTCTAGCGTAGCTCGGGCCTCGGTAACATTTTAAGATTTTTTAAAAAACAGTCTCGTATTGCTGCTTGCTATGAGGAGTTTGATATTAAGGAAGAAATAGGATGGTTAAGAGTAAAGTTCCGATCAAATATTTGTCGAAGAAAATACTTTGTAGAGCTGGATATGTTTAGTCGGCGCTCCGGGAGACTGACTTTAAATAAGGATTCGCTTTAATCCGAATGCAATTCGAAATATAAAATGGGTACAGATAACAGAATGTTTTTTTTCTTAGGTACTATTTATGTTTTGTTTTTTATTCTTACTTTGGAGTTGAAATAATGAGCTTCCATTTTGGCTTTCTTCTACCAATTATTGTGATACAGTTTTTCTATATCTTTAGACAATACAACACCAAAACGAAACTATACCAAAATATTTCTCTTTGTTACAGCCAACCTCGCGATCCTATTGGCTGCGAAAGTTGGACTGTATAAACTGGTTCTGGTAATAGCCCTTACGGTAGCTAGTTTGAAGATACTCCTTATATTGGTCTGGGCTACAGTCATATACAAGCATGTGCCTGATCCATACTTGCATTATCAGAAAACGGAGCCATTTCCACACTTTCAAGACAAGTATGCCCCTCATAGGGAGGGATATCAGGCCCTGGATCTAATTGCTGACTTTATTAAAAAGCGACAGAGGCGTCATTAGGTGTGTAGTACACAAATGTTCCTAATATTAACTAACAGAAAGATAGATAGGTAGATTTTATTTGTGCAAATGTTAGGTGAAAATGGTTGTTTTATTGAAAAGAAAATTATACGCGACATACATAGCCCCTACGTGGACACTGTTCACGAATAAGCGTCCCATTGCGACTTGAAACTAATAGAGTTTTTCCGTTTAAGTAAAGTGAGTTAGTCGTTGTTTTCAAAATATTTAGTGTGCTGTTTTATAGTACTTCGTATTTTAAAATTGACGTGTTTTTTATCAGAAATACTATTATACATTAGTCGCATTTATAGATTTATAGTTTTTTGAGAAATTAACAATTAGTACAACACTTGTAGTTTTTAAAAGAAATGAATAATTATGATTTTGTTTCCAAAAATATGGGACCTGTATTGAGGATAATAATTGTTACGTATACTTATCAAACTACCTAGTACCTATATATTTGAACGAGGATATTAAATTAAAATTACCTAAATATCAAATATTAGATATTATTATAATAAATATTATTATGTCGTATATAATATAAACCATAATATGTAAACCATATTTAGGTACTTTTGAAGCGTCAAACAAAATAGGTAAAACAAATAGTTCGTCAGTCTATCTGGCAGTGACGCTACGTACAAAATTCAAAATAAAATGCAGTAAATAACAAATAGCTTTATTTCTATATAAATAAAATTGATTTCTCTTTGTTCACAGTTCACTTCTTTTATGTAGTAGCGACGAAGCTGATCGTTCTTAAAATGGTTTATGGAGCCCTGTTCTACGTTCTGGTGACAAAAGGATGGCAGTTCGTCCTCTGGTTCATACACTACCTCAAGAAACATAAGCATGACCATCACGAATACATAGAAGACCATCACTTCGACCACAGTTATGGTCATCATGACCATTCTTATGGTCACCATGACCATTCTTATGGTAATTTTGACCACGACGATCACAGTTATGGTAGTTTGGATTATCAACCTTATGGCTACGATAAAAATGGTTATGGAAGCGATTATAAAAAAAGGATTTATGATGCTGACGGGTCTTATGCTGTTAAAGGACAATGAACTTAGTTTATTTAATTTAAATGTACGTTATATGTATATAGTTTGATTGTTAATATAGTGTTAGTTAGTTGACTTTGACTTTGATATTAGCTTTCAAAATGTCGTGTGGGTACCTAATGAAAAAATTAAAAATTAATAAAATTCAAACTTTGTATTTAGTTCTAGTTCTAGGAATAGAAAAGATTGTGGTTTTCTACAAATTCACACTAATTTTTTATTAACTTATTTATTTATTCTTTATCTGATGTGTAAATATTCCATTTTAAGCAAAAATTTATTTAATTCAAGTTTTAAAATAAGTGCCATTGCGTGACATGTAAATAGTATATTAGCTTTAAGTTATATGTTAAAATAAATAAATTATTTAATTTTTGACTGTTGGCTTGAAAGTTTCTTATCTAAATAAACGGAAAATTACTCTGACATTGATTACATGGAATGGAGGTATGGCGGAGTTGTGGCATTTGGATTTCCACTGTGTTTGTGGACTATGTTGGTACTTAAGAGGGAAACAGGCATACTATATACATAAACATCATACATTACGCAAGTACTTTGATAAACGTAAACTGTAATCAATGTCAGGGTAATTTTCCGTTTACTTGGCTTCTTGACATGGCTACATGAGGGTCTGGGTTCGAAACCTGGCAAGTACCAATGTGACTTTTTCCGTTATATGTACTTTCTATGATTATTTAGACACCAATGACATGCGGTGAAGGTAAACATCGTGAGGAAACCTGGACTTATAATTTCTAATTATAAGTTTGAAATCGCCAACCCGCATTGAGCAAGCGTGGTGATCTCTAACCTTCTCCGTATGAGAAGAGGCCTTTGCTCAGCAGTGGGCACTTATAGGCTGATGATGATGATGATTTCAGGCTTCTTGTATATATTTTCCATTTTTTATTCACCAATTACGAATAAATTCACTAAAATCTGATTGAGTAGTATTCATTACATTAATAACAACAAGGTCTGAAATATACAAAACCATATCACATTCCACATTCCTAAGTCCCACAACGAATAGCCTACCTAAAGTTGATACCTAGGTATCATAGAACTAATGTTAATACCTCCGTCCAATTAGTTCAGATTACATAAGTTCCTTATGCCTATTAAAGTCTGGAGAAGCAATCAATCTATCAGATATTTTATGTAGATTTTAGGGTTGGCACACTGTTGTAACTGAAACTGGAATGAAAATATTAGATGAAGGGACATATTTGGTCAGAAAAACTGCCTCGTTGGTTTAAAAAAAGTAAGATTTGGGCATGCAAGAGGTTTTGTGATTCGATATCCGAGTCCGGAAAAGTAGTGAGATATTTTTGGGATTTTCGAAAATTAACCCTAAGGCGGCGTTGGCATCTGGAGTTGTGTCCGGTGTATTATAGTTTTGTCTAAAGAAATAATACTAATTTCTATTATACCTACATACTCTATAAGTGCTAACTGCTGCGCAAAACTTATAATTAGAAATTGTAAGCCTCAATGATGGCGAGCGAACAAGTTTATTAATAATGCGTTTGATTAAAAAACAAACGTCTAATTTCACGGCTCAGATTGGAATAATGTCAACAAGGTGGCGAATTATTTTTTACGACGACGCAGCCGTTTTGATAAGAAACAAACACATACCCACATACTGTTAGTTTTCTTGCATAAAAATACAAAGTTAACAATATTTAGAAAACAGAGAAAACTAACTGCCGACACTGATTACCTTTCACATGAAGTCAGTTTACTGTTTAGAATTTAATCTGAATTGTGAAAGCTCAGGGAAAGCCTACAACTTTCTGTTATGTTATAAAATTAGTTATACACACCCCTCCGACATATAAGATTGGGTGTTCGGTGACCCCACTCACACGATAAAATGCAACGCGAGTTTTTCTGTGAGGCCATGGTATCACTATGAATTTTACACTTAGCTTTTTTCTTTCTTTAACATGAGCACAATATGTGGTGTGTGTGTGTGTGTGTGTGTGTGTGTGTGCTTTTATATGTGGGTGAACGGTTTGTAGGTGGTAGGCAATCGGCGCCGCCCATGGACACTCGCATCACCAAAGGAGCTACGAGTCCATTGCCGGCCTTTTGGGGATTAGGATTTTCGGGATCGGGGAGGAAAGGAATGGGGAAGAGCAAGGATTGGGCGCGTTATAGTTCGTCGTATAAGTTATGTTCCGGTAACTTCACTCATACGACGAAATAAAACATTGTAATTTTTTGTAAGACTGTGTATTATTCTGGTGGGGCCGACCCATTAACGCCGAAGCTTCTTGACTCTCCCACACTTAAAGATTTATTGTTATCAATTGATATAGAATATTCCAGAACGAATATGTAAAAAGTAAGTATTTAAGTATCAGCCCTAGTATATTTCCATATCCGTTGGGATAGGGGAGTGGTTGATGGCTCACAAGGGCATCTAAATTTGGAGCCTGCGCTGTAATGGAGCGGTGCCGGCGGGCTTGTCATTATCCTGCTCTCGTTGTCATCAGTGTCGTCTCGCTACACGTTCTAGAAATTTCTAGGTGGCTAAAATTTTGATACTCAATTAATGATTAGGTAAACTTGTTTTAAGATAATTTATAGAATCAGGCGTTACTTTGCGGAAATCCATGACATTAAATGTTAGAAGGGTGGGTGGGACCCTTGCTGCATGTGCATATGCATGATTGCATAGGAGTGGGATTGCATCCTGCAACGAGGCCTGGATTTTTGTAGCGGAATTAAAACTACATATTTTCCCTAACATTTAAACTTGTTTTAGATAAGTTGTTAGAGACAAGACGTCTTGTAGTGGAATATATTGGAGATTTGATGTCGTCTGCTAATTAATCTTATTACGCAATAATAAATATCAAGATTTGAAATTATTTTATGTCTAAGAGAGCCACGCTTCGGCACGAATGGGTCGGTCGGCTCAACCGGAATGATTTCACGGCGTTACACTAAACAGGCTTGAAACAATCAAAGCATTGTGTTTCCCCGTGTAAGGGAGGTTACCGAGGGCCTTCTTCTTTCTCCATAATCCTTGCCCTCCCTCCCCGAATCCCTAAATCTCCGAAACCTTAATCATCCACAGACTGGTAACGCACGCACATTTTTCTGATGCTACGGGTGTCCACGGGCAGCGCTAATTGCTTGACATCAGGTAACTCGCCTCTTTTGACCCACTATCACATAAAAAAGAACTGCTGGTACCGTGGATCTCATCTACAAAGAGGAAGAGAGAGGTTTCCCATAACCTCCATGTTTGGCAAGTGAGTTGGATACTGAACCTTCATCTGACAATGCCAATGCACTGTAAGATAGATATACTCAAAATAGGACGTAAATATATCACAATTGATTAGTATTCTAAACGCGTAAACATACAGGTTGTTTTTAAAATCTAACATTTCAAAATTACGCAGAAAACAATAAAAATACATTGTGCACCGACTTTAAACAATGGCTTTTATGGCCAGCATGTCGACAGCTCCAGTGTCGAATGATCGCCACTCGTCGACAATTCATTTTTACAACTGCGCTCGATTGTACACGATTATGTTGTTTGGGGAGTTAAATGGCGACGATGTGTTCAAGTTACATTGTTAACGACTGTACGCTACAATTTAACGAGTTTGTTAGAGTTTCGTTGGTGTATCGTGTTCGGGGTTATGGGCTTATCTGTGTGTCTTACTGCGTTACAACTTCTAATCCTATTTCGTAATTTATTTGGTATTTGCACAATTTTGCAGTTGTTTGTTTTAAACTCTGAATGAGCACACCCTGTACGCTAATGGTTTGTTTTATTGGAGTATTAAATTGTTTTGCCTGTCTATCTTAAACTTTGTTGTGTGTAGTAAAGTTTACCGAATTTTACTACATTTCACTCGTTAGATATTAAAATTAAGAGTTTTTAAGTAATTTTATTTATTTTTAAGTAATGTTATTTTTGAGATAATCATCTTTTAGAAAAAAATAATACATATTTTTTATACAAATCTGCTTGGTTGCACAGCCACTTTCCTAACGGCCGATTTGTTACCTCTAGGTAACTTTAATCTATCCTGGATTTCTTTTAAGTGTTGGCGAGCCAAGCTTCGCCATGAAGTTGACTTAACCAGAGCAGTACCACGGTCTTGCAGAAAGAAACAACCACAGCGTTGTGTAACACCGTGCGACTGAGGCTACGGGGGGACCGTTCCTTTCCCTCCCCCAATTCCCTAAATCTTTGAAACCCTTATTACTGATTAGTTAATAGAGATTAGGATAGATAATCGCTAATCCCCAAAAGGCCGGCAACGCACTCAGATCTCCTTTGGTGTTCGGATGTCCATGAGCAGCGCCGATTGCTTACCGTCAGGTAATCATTCCGCGCTTTGCCGTCCTATCATATTAAATTAAATCCACTAAAATCTACTTTACTAACTTTCGGTGGCATAATCCGATTACCAAAATCGCTCTGAATTTTGTACCGATGGTATAATAGTCTACCTATCTGCATACATTGTAGAGTGCAAAACTATACAGGACGTGCCTCTAAGCGCCTGACCGCGTAATTGTATCGGAATTCCGGAGCCGTGCCTCACAGGCGTCGGAGTGTTCCATCAGGCGCCCTCTCTCTGATGTGAGTGATTTGTTTGGCAGTTTGAGACGAATTTCCACCACCATGTGTGTGGAAATTTTATTTGTGAATTGAATTTGGAAACGAATGTCATGAACGGTTATAACATTAAAATTGAATATTGTGGTAGCGGATAGAATGACATAAGTGTAGTGCGAGTGAGTCATGCTTCGGAATGAAGGGGCCGGATGTCTAACCACCAAAACTTCTAAAATCAAATAAACCACACACCAAGGTTCTTAAGAAAAACAGTACAGTACACAAAATCACCTGAAGTGATACCACAGCCTTTTTTGGGACTAGCCCGCGACTCTGTCCCAAAACCGCATCTGTGCAACTCCTGTAAGCTAGAATCTACGGTAGAGACAACTACCAAAATCACTGAAATCAGGGACATGATTGAGTGTCTTAGATCCCGTAACAAAATTAATGAGAATTTTTTTTTTACTCTCAGTCAGTTTTAATGGCTTTGTCGCTGAGCGATGACGTCACCCTGATATTGAGGAGATGAAAAAACGAAATATTTTCAAATTCCCTCAGTAAACTTAATGCAGGAGACAGACTTTTTATGGTCGGCAAACGAGCAAACGGTTTACCTGATGGTAAGCAATCAGCGCTGCCCATGCAGCAATCACACCCGCAACCAGGGAATGGGGGAGGGGAGTGATTGGGCTTCTTTTAACCACACTCTAAATATGAAACGCGAAAATTTAAAGTTAGAATAACAAAGTTTAGACAAGACGGTTTTAATTTAATTTTTTTAGGGACCTGCAGATATCTGTTCTCGGGTCTTTAAGTACAATTAATTTAATTGTATTTAAAGAAAATGACTCCCTTAAATATAAAATACAAAATTTAATTAAATAATAATATAGGTATACAAAATAAATTTTATATTCAGAACGAAATTAATTAAATGAAGTCAAGTAAAACGAGTATGAAAATAAAATCAGTGATATTTAACTTGTAAAAAATAAATAAGTTATATCAAAAGTAAATTCAATAGTAAGATTAAATTAGTTAATTTATAATTTATATTATTCACATAAAAACTGTTAGTTCATTTGATGCCTGTCAATTTAATCAGTACTCTCTCAGAAAGACATACTTGATTAAAATTACCTCGATATTATTAAGTTTTGAATTAAATTTGTGCCTTTGTAATTTTGTTAAAATATATTTTTAGTTTTATTAGTTGAAAAAACATGGTTATAAAGTTCAAAATCCTTTTATTACTTTATTGTAGGTCTTGGTTCAAACTTAAGATAGAGTGTAAACACTTACATAAATTACTAGGTACTCACTCGCTGCTCGGCTCCATTTGATCGCAACGTGATGTTTTATAGGCTATAGCACTCAGGAACATTGTAGCTATCTATCAGTGAAATCTGGCAATCAGACCAGCGGTTCCAAAGATTACTCCCTATATACAAACTTACAAACTTACAAACTTACAAATTTTACCTCTTTATAATATTAGTATACTTACACTAGTATAGATTAGGCAAGTGATTGTCGCTTTAATACCACTTTATGGAAAGTCCTCAGATGACTTCTCTCATCCAGGGTGCAACAAGAAGGAGTATCAGAGTCTTACTGACTGAACCTCCCGCGTTCCTTCTCTTGCCTTAGACCGAGGCCGAGGTACCGTGATACCTTATTGCGCTTGTCACGCAACCCTGGCTGTACATCTTTTTGTTTTTTTTTCTTCTGTGTCTTGGGTGCGGTTACAAACATACAATTTCACATGCACATCACACCCAGACCCGGAACAACGATTTGTAAGTCACACTAATAGTTGTTCCGTGCGGGAATCGAACCCGCGACACGTTACACAGCAGGCAGCCAGTTGCCCAGCCACCGCAACAACCATGCAGTCATCTCTGGCATCGGCTCTGTGTATATCGATACGGTGTATCTACATCGCCTAAGTGTGCTAACTTCTATTAATAAATGAAAACTTGTCAAATTATTTCGATGAATAGATCTATAATTATCATTTGACTGGCATTCATAACAGTCATACTTGTGAACAATATAACAACAAATAAGCAGTCAATTGTTATATAAACGCATATGTGTCGTAATTCTTTATCAATATTGATTGATTCTTGACATACTTATAATAACTACGTAAACATACCCAATATATTTGTTTTTAAAAACAATAATATATTATGTGCATATGTATTAAAGTTATAATTATCATTTTTGAAATGATTTCGCACACACATTTCAATATCTGCCATGCGTCGACCTATATGGTTGCAAACACGGCCTGGAGAAGAAG